AATGAGTGAGTGAGTCATTATAGACCTACATTGCTCCTCACATATACAATACCATCAAGTCAGTTCCAACTCATGGTGACCTATCTAATTTTCCTATCCAATTTATTAATCTGAAGAAGACTGATTCATCTTTATCCCACAGAGCAACTGTTGTTGTTGATGTTGTTAGGTGCTGTAAAGTACGATTCAGCAACCCTGTGAACAAAAGATCTAAACCCTGTTCTATCCTGTGCAGTCCTCACACTTCCTGACACACAAGAGCACATTGCAGCAGTCACCAAGTCGGTCAACCTGGTTGAGGGTCTTCCTCTCCTTCCCTTCACAGCATCATGTCCTTCTCCAAAGAATAGCACCTCCTGCCAACATGCCCAAAGTATGTGAGGCTAAGGCTCATCATTCTTGCCTCCAAAGAGCAGCCCAACATTTAACCTATTAAGCCACCATGGCTCTTTGATGTTCATAATATATTCTATGAAACAACACGTTATCTGATTTGGACATTGTGAGAATATCATATTGTTCTATTCTTTGTTTAAGCTAGAGTAGAACCTCAGGTCCTACTCTTTGTTTAACTATCTTGAGCAAGTTTTAAGCCTTACTGGTAATTGTCAACATACTGAGAGAGATTGTCTTTGTGTTTGATCCTCAAGCCACATCACTGGCAATTTCTCAATAGTCTCCCTGCATTTTTATTAGCTTCATAGATTACAGTGGAGCCAGTCACATGCTTAAGTAACAAGCAATAGCACTCACTGATTTCCACCTTCATGTTTTCTAACAAACTTTGGTTTCATTTCCAAACTGACACTTCCCCATTGTCTCTTGCTGCTGCTATCACTAACTCACTAACAGTGGTTTTACTGTATTTAGGATCCATAATACACTTTAAAGTAATACTTTGAAAGAAAACAAGACATCGCTACAACATGCAAGAGATGCTCAAAACACAAGGTCGGATGCTGCTACCTATATAGACACTGTTATATGGTAGACTTATTAGACAGAAAGTAAAGTACAATACATACCTATAAGCCAGTATCATAATGAAGGTACGTGTATAATAGGTTACATACACACTCTATCATTATACACCTGCACTACAATGCTTTGCTGCAGGAAACTTGAGATACATGTGGTGAATGAGGGAAGCTGCTACATTGTCTATGTCTTGTTCTCTGATAATGATTTCTGAACTCTATTACAATTTTATGGGACCATGGACACATTTTCAGTTGGGTGTTGCTCAAGCTGTTATGTTACATTAAAAGACCATATACACAAATATATAAATTAAATATAAAAATTTTATGTCAAGAGATAGCACATATGAATAATGAAAGTCACTGCTATCCAGTGGGTTCCAACTCATAGTGACCCACTGTTGGGTTTCCAAGACTGTAAATCTTTATGGGAGGAGACTGCCTACATTTCTCCCACATATGAATAGTTGATTGTGAATTCCAAAATGACATACAAATAATAGCTAGTTGTTGTTGTTGTTGTGTACTGTCAAGGCAGAATCGACCATAGCTTTTCGGAGTTTTCGGAGGCACTAAACCACACAAGAGGAGACTGTCAATCTTTCTTCTGCTGAGCAGCTGGTGAATTCAAACTGCATACCTTTGGGAATGCAGCATAGCTTCTAGGTGCCTGAAAGCCCCACTAATTAGTGGTAGAAGCCTCTTATAACTCAGAGTGCAGATTTAGGTATCAATCAGAAGTGGCTTTCATCCTAGTTCTGCCATTTACTCTAAACCTGGTCAATGCATTCCTATCCCAAGTGTCAATCTATAAAATGGGAATAATAAAAATAGCCAAGTCTTGGAATCCAGGTGGCATAGTGTGTAAAGTGTCAGGCTGTTATCTGTAAGGTTAGTAGGTCGAATCTACTAGACACTACAGGGGAAGAAATGGGTGGCCTCCTTCTGTAAAGACAGTCAAGAAGTGCTCTGCAAAAAAAAAAAAAAGAAAAAGAAAAAAAGAAGTGCTCTGCAAATATTATTCAGCAGCCCTCCAGTACATTCTTTTTCTTTTTTTAATTAATAATTTTAATGAACATTTACAGAGATTTTGGATTTCCATTTATTCATTGCTACACTTCTCTCCCCACCCAGCCCTGCCCCCACCTCCAGTAGATTATTATGGCAACCTCATATGTGTCAGAATAGAATTTGTTCCATAGTGTTTTCAATAGTCTATTTTTAAAAAGCAGATTGCCAGATCTTTCTTCCAATGCATCTCTGGGTGGACTCAAATCTTTAACATTTTGGTTAACAATTGAGCACATCAGTCAATTGTATCAATTGTATTTGAACTAGCATAAGCAACCATTTATTGGACTTCCGGGACTCCTGCACATTCTCAAACTTAATTGTGCTGTTTCATTTCCTATTTTTGAGTTTGATTTCACTTTCCTCCCTCTCTCTTTTGGCTGCATAATCAACTTTTGTATTTGTTATACTCTGGGCTCCCTTGTTCTTCATCCCTCCCAACTCACCTTCTTGCTGTCCCTATTATGATCATCTCCAGAACTTGTTATCACAATGACCCATCAGTCCTCCCAACTAAAATTCATCCTACACAGCCCTGCTTGTTAATTTTCCCAAGACAAATTACAAGTGTGTCATTCCTTTGCTCAGACTTCCCAGTCACTACTAAATTAATTTCTCAGCACATCACATACCTGTTGTGTGGGGTTTTTTTTTCCTGAGAGAAATATTATCTCAATTTTTTTAAAATAAAAAGATGTTTAATTTTTGGCTTCCATTTCTCTTTCCAGGTAAGGCTCCAAAGTGGGTCCATGTCTTTCGCCAATTAGATGTACCTATCTCTACTTTGCAATTCCCTATAGGCATAGTTTCATTGATACAATTTCCTTGTATTCCAATACCCTCTCATTTATCTCTGCTTTTGAAACTCCTGACCCTTCTTCTAGACCAATCTCAAATGTCACCCTCTCTCCACAGTATCTTTTCTGACCTTCCAACCTTCCTTTGAACCCTTCTAGGTGTGCTTTTTGTTGTGACACTGTTATTCAGTCTTAAAATAGGATTGGTTCCATCTACATCCTGGCTTCCTCTGTAGTCTGTCAGGAGGTTTGTTCATATCAAGTATACAGTTAGCATGGATGCTAACTGTGTTTTATTGATTACATTTTAATACACTAGTTCATCTTGGACTTCTATATATTATATGTCACTCAAAAGAATGATTCATTCATCAAGAACCTCTATACTTGCTTCTGTACTTAGCAGTAAAAGACAGGCCTTGGGCTTCTGGAATGCCTATCAAGAAACAGTTTATAAATTGAAAATAGTTCTTTAAAATAGTACATCATTACTCTTTCAGATTTCCAAGAAATATAAACGTGTCCATAAAGTCCATTCAGCTACCTGCTGTGCTCCTAAAATATCTTTATCTGAGGTTTTGGATTTAGTGGTACTTGAAAAAAATATAGTTATTGCCATAAATATACTGTACAACAGAGTTTTGTAAATACCTCTAGTAAATTTCAGAAAAGAAAAATATATAGACAGTGGAACTGGGTTCCAACAATTTACACTATGGCTAACTCTGAGAATGAAAATCCCAGAACACTTAACTGTACTCATATAAAATCTATGTCTAGACCAAGAAGCTGTTGTCTGAACAGAACAAGCAAACCCTGCATGGTTTTAAATGAGGAAGGGTGTGCACCAGGAGTGTATCATTTCTCCATAATATTCAATCTGTGTGTTGAACAAGTGATTCACAAAGCTAGACTCTATGAGGAAGAATGTGGCAGCAGGAATTGGAGGAAGACTCCTCAACAACCTGCATTACGCAGATGACACAATCTTTCTTACTGAAAGCAAGGAGGGCCTGAAGAACTTGTTGCAGAAGATCAAAAGACTAGAGGCTGATATGTAGAGTGCATCTCAACCTCAGGGAAAAAGTCGAGTGGGCTCTGTATGATTTCCAGGCTTGTAAATCTTTGTAGACTTGGACTGTTTTGTCTTTCTCCCAGAGAGAGCCTGGTGGATTCCTAATTGCTGGCTTTTTTGCTAGCAGCTTTAAGCTCTATACCACCAGGAAGCCCTGCTACAAACACTGTCATTATCATTTCAAACTTTTCCCAGACTGCCTTGACAGAACATTTTAAGTAGAGGCAATTTCTTAAATTCCCCAAGCAAAGATTTCATATTGTGGATTTTTTATATAGTGAAGTCCAAAACAAATAAGTCTCCTGTTGTCAAGTTGATTCTAAGGCTGTAAATCTTAACAGGTGAAAATTGCCTTAATTGTTTCACACAGAATAACTGGCAGGTTCAAATTATGCAGTATGTTATTATGTCATAACATATTGGCTCCTAGGACCAGCAAAAAAAACAAACAAAAAAGTACCCAACAAATCAAAACATTCCTAGACCGTAGTATTGTTGTTGTGTACCACTGAGTCGGAACCATAGCTGACCCTCCAGCTGGTTTTCAGAGTCAAGATACCAGAGCCCCAAACCCACTGCTGTCAGGTTGATACTACTCATACCAACCCTGTAGGACAGACTAGAACTTTCCCCATAAGGCTTCCAAGGACATGGGTAAAGCTCAATACTTATTGCCATTGTCTCCAGCCACATTCTTCAATAACTTGGAATTTAAAAGGCTTCATTCATTCACATACTTCATTTCCCTAAGAAGATTTCCGCCCCTCCCCCTTATCAGTGAAAATGCTAACAAGTTTGTCACCTAACAACTCAATGCATTGCTGTCAAGTTGGAGTCAACTCATAGTGGAATCTCCAGGATTTTTGGAGGCAGTAAATCACATGGTTGGAGATGGTCCATCTTTCTCCCAAGGAGCAATTGGTGGGTTCAAACAGCCTCCCTTTGGACTAATTGTACAACTCCTCACCCACTAGGCAACCAATGTACCCTTTGTCATCTTCAGACATCTGTCAGTGACTATGTGGTCAGAATTCTCTCCCAATACCATGCTTCTCTAGTACCATTGGGGATACTCACCTTTGGCATTTCTATAATTGATGGTCTAGGGATCGAAGTCTGAAAATTAACTGCTTCACAACCTGGTTCAGCATTGAGAGACCCAGGCACATCCTCCGGTGTCTCAGCAAGCTGAGCAGGAACATGGTTACCTGCATTGCCATTTTTCTCTGCATGGCTGCTGGAATCTTGTCTGCTCTCCGGACCTCCTTCTTGCCCCCTGTGATGACTTGAGTGCCTGCTCTCTTTGGCCGTGGGCTGCACACAGGTGGCAGAATGAGCATCAGCCATGCTGGACTGATCGAAGGGAGCATTCTCCTGTGTATTCCCAAAACAAGCAAGCAGTGCTGAGCACGGAAATGGATGCATCCTTCTAGATGGAGATTTCAGTCTCTTGGTGAACCTTGCTTTCCATGTGGACATGGCTGGTACTGAAACATCGCAAAGTTCAACAGGGAAAAGAAAATGTTCCAGAGATTCAGGTCACATCCAGTTTCCTGGCAGCAGCTATTTCCTTGCCTGAAGAAAAGGGCTTTTTAGTTGTTACCTCCAGGGAGAAGTTTAGGAGGTGACAGGACCACTCTCCCTAGGGGTACCTCAGCAGCTAACTGCCCTTCGGAAGTGACCATCACAGGCAATTTCATGCTCTTCCTTCCTTGAGGCTGTCAGTGACTGAGGAAAGCTGTCTGAGAGGCATGCGGTTGACTTGGGTTACAGTCCCCAGGCAGGGCAGACTGCTTCAGTGTAAAGTAATGCCAAGTCAATAGGCAGTTGCTTCAGGTTACCCTGGAGGCATAAAGATAATGTAGCCTGATAGTGTCCACCATAATAGTGTCAGCCTGTGTATCAATAACATCATAACGGCAGCATAACCTTCTTCAGTTACTCACTTCAAATATTTATTCCCTCAAACAAAACAAAACCAAACCCCTAGGTATCCACCACAAATAAAGATACCCACCCCCCAAAAGGGGCCTAAACCCTGGCAGCTGCTTTATTATTAAAGTGGGAGGTAGGTCTGAAGCTTTTGTCTGAAGAGAGCCACATTTGGGTGTGATATCGCAGGACTTTGGGGGATCCTTCCCAAGTTTCCCCACAAACAAACTTTTTGACTATAGGATTAACATATCCCTTCCTGGTAATTGTAAATAAGTCTGTTGATTTCTTTTTTAAAAAACTGTTTCCCCTACCTATTCTATGTCCTTGATTAGTTTTCATCAGAAAAGGAAAAATGAGTGAAAAATTGATACAAGTACTATGATGTGTGAAGAAGGTTCCATTTACTGTATATTTAATTTTATGAAGTTACTCCTTTTAAAGCGTAGGCCTTCTATTTCTCAGTATGTCAGTTACTGGATGGTGAAAAAAATATTAAACTGTAATAATTTCCTAAGACAATACTCAAAACTAGGATTCATTCTTGACAAAGCATCTGCTAGGGACATTATAGAAATATAATAATGTAACGGTTTTACAATTAATGATGATTTGCAGGTCAAGATTTCAGGGGACATGAACCATTCTAATTTATTTTTTGCTTCGTCTCTTTTAATTTAATATCAAAATGTGTTTTTAAGCCTAAACAGGTGGTAGATATTACGGGCCTAATCTCCATTTTACCGAAGCAGAAACCAATTCTTTGAAATCTCAAATGACTAACACAAGGTTATGCTACTGAGAAGAGCTGATTGAAAGTCCACGATCCCTGCTGCCTTGTCTGGTCTTTGAGTCTCATTCTGTCTGACATAACTGCTACACTGAAGACATTGTTATGATTGCACAGTCATATTTATAACCCACAAAGGCAGTTATGTCTTAAGAAAGAGTGAACATGAACCTAAACGCAGGCTTTATTTAGTCTTTACCAAAAGTAAGATATAAAATATAACTTAGAGGTTCCAACGTAGCAGGTTCTCTGATGGCCTAGTGGTAAAAAGCTGGGCTGCCAATCTGAAGGCATGCGGTTCTAATCCACAGAAAGATGGACAATCTCTTCCTCTGCAATTGACTGTCTCTGAAAATCCACTGGAGAGTCAGCTTTGAGTCCGTCCTGACTTGAAGGTAACCAAGAGCAACAGTATGAAGCAGGAGTGAAGAATCCTGGTGACACGGTATAGAATTGCTAACTAAAAGGATGGAAGTTCACATCCACTAGCTTCTCCACAGGAGAAAAATGGGCAGTCTTCTCTCATTAAGATATACAAGCTTACAACCTGAAGAGGGGCTGCTATGAGTTAGAATGTATTTGACAGCAATGAGTTTAAGGCTTTAGACATCTGGGCTAAGGCTTTAGACATCTGGGCTTGGGTGATCCACATAGCCTCACAGATTGATGAGTGTGGCAAGCAGCTTGGCTCCTGAGGTGGTGGCAGGTTTTGGCTCCCTAGGCAGTGGGGCTTCAGGAAGTGTCTGAATCAGGTCAGGTACTAGGCCATCAGCTCAAGACTGAGAGGTCAGATCAAATTCAACCAGATTCAGGATCCAGAGCAAAAAATGTTCTCAGATCATCACTGTATATGGCTATAGACCACACACCCAAGGGAACTAAAGGTGGTAATGTGGTCATAACTTCTATTACGGCAGGATTTCAAGACATATTTCACTCTCATCCTGCCTCTTCAACACAGACACTCCGCTGCAGAATGGTATCATGAGTACAGGTTTATATAGAATGTACAGTACATCACCAATGGAATACTGTAGCTGGAAGAGTTGTATTATGTAATTCACTGCACTGAAGTGAGGTGGGAGAGTGCACCTTTTCTATATAATCCTCAAGATGTTTTATACTTGCATCATGTGCAAGTATTAATTGAGTACAACTTTTTAAAAATTAAGGTCAATTTACATGTGGCAAAACAGAAAAATTTCAAGATATTTTTAAAAGCAATGAATGTGTGCTTCCAATTGTGTTGAATGTGTGCATATTTACAAACCCACTCATGAACACATGCAGGTATCTGCTAACATGCACAGAAAATTTCTGGGAAGTGTCCAAGAATGTTGTTAGCATCTGCCTATGAAGAGGGGATATTCAATATCTGGGCTGGGAAGACGATGCTTTTTTGTGAAGTATCAACTGTTTGGTAACCACTTTTATTACACTTTGCAAATATTAATTCTTCCATTTGCAAAAGCAAGTACTAAAACATCTAAGTACTTTTTCTTTTCAGATAAATATCCCAAGGTGGTAGGGCACAAATTTAATTTGGGGGTACCATTGTAGATAAAAGACAAGGATTTGGATAAAATCCTCTCTCCAAGGTTAAAGTTGATCTCTATCACTTCATGTTGTCATTGTTGTGTGCCATCAAGTTGGAACTGACTCCTAGCTGACCCTCAGAGCTGACTCTCCAGAGGGTTTCCAGCGGCAGTAAATCACACAGGAGGAGATTGTCCATCCAACAGTCTCTTTTTTTTTTAAATTTAGGTTGTTTATTTTCATTTCAATGAACATCTACAGGGACTTATATCTAGAATTTATAAAATACTCGAGCACCACAACAAGATAAAGGAGAATAATCCAATTGAAAAATGGGCACAGGATATGAACAGACACTTCACCAAGGAAGACATTCAGATGGCCAACAAGCACATGAAGAAATGTTCAAA